ACCACGCCCAGCTAATTTTTGTATTTTTAGTAGAGGCGGGGTTTCATCATATTGGCTAGGCTGGTCTTGAACTGCTGACCTTGTGATCCGCCCACCTCAGCCTCCCAAAATGCTGCGATTGCAGGCGTGAGCCACCACACCCAGCCTAAAACTAACCGTTTTAAAGTGTACTATTCAAGGGTGTTTTAATACATTCACAATGTTGTGCAGCCATCGCCATTCATTTCCAAAACATTTTCTTCACCCTAAAGGAAAACTATCCATTGAGTGTTACTCCCCATTCCCTCCTGTCCTCAACCCCTGGCAACCACTGGTCTATTTTCTGTCTCTATGCACTTACCTATTCCTTTCTATGGATATAGTACTACATTTGGTTTATTTTTTAATTAAATTTAATTTTTTAGAGACAGGATCTAGCTCTGTCACCCAGGCTGGAGCGTAGTGGCGTGATCATAGCTCACTGTAGCCTTGAACTCCTGGGCTTGAGTGATCCGCCTACCTCAGCCTTCCAGGTAGCTAGGACTGCAGGCACTCACCACCACACCTGGCTCATTTTTAAAATTTGTCAGTTGTTGAACATTTGGGCTGTCTCCGCTTTTTGGCAATTGTACTTAGTGCTGTTATGAACATCCATGTACAGGTATTTGTTTTTAATTCCTTTGGGCATATACCTAGGAACTGCTGTGCCATATGGTAATTCCATGTTTAACTTTTTGAGGAACCACCCAGCTGTTTTCCACAGAGGCTGCACCATTATACATTGTACAAGGTTCTGATTTCTCCGCATCCTCGCCAACACTGGCTATTTTCCATTGTTTTTATTGCAGCCATGGTAGTGGGTGTGAAGTTGTATCTCATGGTTTCCTCCAAATCATTTTTAAATGCACAAATTGGCTAATTTCACTTCTCTGCTTCACATCCTTCCCATTGCGTTTATAATAAACCCTGACCCTCCCTTGGATTCCGAGGAGTGTATGATCTTCCCCCTCCTCCTCCTCCATCTCACTGCCTCCCATTCTCCTCACACAGCCACTTACCACGCGTCATTGGCCTTCTCCTGTTCCCTCAAGCGGGGAAGGCAAACACCCATGGGCTTTTCTTTATTATTTACTCATTTATTTATTTTTTAACACTTCCCTCCTTAGATCCAGAGACCGTGGGCTTTGAGGCTCAGGGAGTCAGATCCAAGGTCCATTTAGAAGTAAATGATGAGATGATGCATTAAATGCTAGGTATGGCACGTACATGGTTGATAAGAACACTGCTACACAGTGGATGTAAAAAACATCAGATAGATACCTAAAGGCTGAGTCTTTGGAGCGGGGGTGACCACCTGAAGTGTGTCCTCCCTTCCCCACCTTTTCCCTCCCTCATAGCGTCCCATTCTTCATGGCACTTATGTGTTTGTCATTAGCTAGGAATGTGTACCTCTCCCTGTTATGTTTGGTCTCCCACACTGGGCTGGAAACTCCACACTCGCTCTTTATGCCCGTGCCCAGCACAGTGCCTGACACAGTAGGCACTGATTAAATGATTCTTGAATGAATGCATCATCATATGGTCACAGTAAACAGAATCCATCAGTAATTATCCATTTGACATGAGAGGGTGGAAAGGCAAAGTTTTTATGCCTGAGTGTGGGTGTGTGTATGTTTTCCTAGATTATAGATTTGTCTAAACATTCCTGCTAATTTAAGATATCAAATCTGAAGGTTCTTTCTTGGCTTGAATTTTTGAACAGAGGCCAAGGCTGTTTTTAGATTCCTAAATATTTTCTCTTTTGTGAGAGTTTTCGAAAGTATAAACGGGGCATCTTCTCTACAACTGGTTTACACTGTTGGTTTATGCATTTGAGTTGTGGGCAGAGGGGAAACCTCAGTGTCTGAAGGTGGCTTTACCCCAGCACCGAGGTATCCCCGGGAGAGCTTGGCCAGTCTAAGTCCGTGTGGTCTTAAAGGTCCTCCCTAGCCAGTGTCCCTGTCCTAGCTACATTCTGTTTATTTCAGAGCTTCTCACCTATTGAACACATAACACCTCCTCAACTCAGGACCAGCATCTAGAAGTCGTATTTTAAGAAAGTCATGGTCTTCCAGCTTAGTGGAAGCATCTTTGCAGGATCCAAAATAACATTCACTTTTATCCTGAAATTTTCTTTCTGTTTCTGGTTTTTCCCCAAGCCTCATCCTTCCCCCACCTTCATGCCATACATTACATGTTATTTCTGAAATAAGCCATGATGGAAAGCATGGCTCAGAGGCTCAGTTCTGTCGCCTCCTTATGGCCAGCGTGTGGAAGAGCCCCTCTGCTCCCATGCCTTCTCCATCGGAGCTCATCCATCAACTCAGGGACTATTTTGGGCTGAGTCCCCCACTTGGGAATTCTGCTGTTCATTTGACGTCCAATGGGCTGTAAGCTCCTTGAGGACCAGGCACTGTGTTTACTCACTCTTGTTCCTTCTGGGAAACCGGCCTGACTCTGAGACCTCGCATGGCCCCACATATTGTTTTCTGTGGGAACCACTAAGCATTAGCAACTAGCCGGTGACCAGCAGGGATTAGCAGTATTCAGGCTCCGCAAACATTTAATGTGCTAATTGAGGAGCCCAGGGATCGGCCAAGGAAGTGATTTACAAAGGTGGAAATGGGACTGTTGACACAGGTGCATTTTATTAATTACTGCTTTTGGGAGAATTCGTAAAAATGTTAATATTTTGGGGGTTTAGTCAGTGAAGAATAAGAAACTTATCTTCACAGCCATATGGTTTACTACATGCTGTGATTTTTCCTCTTTTAAAAATTTTTTAAATTTGGGTTTTAGTAAGAACAAACCATTTCTTGCAGAACTTATTGATTGTATTATGTAGGTAAATGTTAAAATATTTCCTAGAACAACTTTTTATCACAAAGAATTCTAAAACATATCAGTGGTATTCAGAGGCACCTAAAACATGTCAGTGGTATTCAGAGGCACCTGTGGCACATTTTCGTGTATTATTCAGTCGGTCCTTTATACATTCTTCTGACAAGAATGGGAGTCATGCCTCTCAGACTCTGAGTCCCAGGCTCTGAGCATGACTGAGGCAGCTCCTAAGAAGAGAGAAGGGAAGAACATTTCCTGAGGATCTTTGCTGTGGCAGGTTCCAGAAGGTGCTTTGGCGCATCTTACGTGAGATATGGCCTCCTTTGCCTGCTAAGAAGCAGGCAAACTGTTGAAGTTTCTTATTAAGTCTCTTAACAAATTAACTGCAGATGTAGGAAGTGAAATATTTAGTACACAGAGAAGTGAAGTCACCTGAAAGCTCCAAATAACTGGCACTATTAAAATGTGCGGTGTGAGGTGGCTGGCTACGTGGAGGGGGCCTTGGCGGAATAATTCCCCCCCATGGTGTCTTAGTCTTCAAGTAGCCAGTGCAGTACCTTTGCCTGTGGTAGATCCTGAGTAATTGTTGACCGAAATGAAGATGCCGTGGCCAGCGGTGAAGCAGGGATCAGTGCAGTATGCTGTGGGAATACAGAGGCAGGGTGGCTTTTGGAGGGCACCTGGACCATTTCCAAGGAAGCTGCCCTCTGGGCAGAGCTTAAAGGATGGCAGAGGGAACTGCATGCACAAGGCCCAGCAGAGGAGTTATGAGCAGGTAATTATGGAGTGTGGGATTCCCAGGAGCTGGGCATGACGTTGAGAGTGGGGGTTGGTTGGGGCCAGAATATAAAGGGATTTCCAGGCCAGCCCGGGACCAACTTCAGATTTACATACTGTTGGCAACAAGGAGCCGGTGGAGACGTTTAATCTCTTTCGACCTCCATAAAGTTAGTCTTTCACTCTGTAACCTGGCCTAAGAGGTAGTCCCATGTCATTTGAACCCCTTGGCTTTCTCTTTTACTTAAATTACATTCACAGTCCACTGTGAAATCTGATTGGAATAGACAAAACGTGGTGGAACTCTGCAGCTTATGCAGCCAGTTCATCCTCACATTAATGTACTTATAATGTGCATTTAAATAGTGCCAGTTACTTGGAGCTTTCAGGTGACTTCACTTCTCTGTGTACTATATACTTCGCTTCCTACATCTGCAGTTAATTTGTTAAGAGACCTTAATGAGAAACTTCAAACAGTTTAAATGTCAATTACCATTCCAGTAATCTACCCGTATTGGTCATCAGAATGTAATCCCTGGTGGATGTAATTTAAGACAGATGACATTCCAGAGCTTCAGTTACAAAGAATTTCTATATTTCGGGACTAATAAGCTGGCTCCAGTGGTGGCTACATTTGCAGGACTGTCTGCACTTATGACTCATCTAGCACCGGCTCTACCCAGAGCTTTCTGTCCATGGAATTCACACTGGTTTTGTGTTTGGGCTGATGCTTTTGAATCTGAAAAAAGTACATAAAAGTATGCCAAAAATGTAAATATTGTAGATAATTTCATTTTTTAATCCTACACTTTTGAGAGGAAAAAAGTATTCATGATGTACTTTACCATAGATTTAATTAATGGGATAATCTTTAATTCCTGACTCAGACATCTGGATTTGTTTCTTGCCACTGTCTCCTTTTTTCTGTGTTCCTTTCTTGTTTCTATTTTTTATTAAGATAAAATACTTAAAGGGTTGACTATGATGATGAGTATTGTTTTAACAGAAAGTAAAATCAAAAGCATGCAGAATAAATTAACCTTGCATTTTCTTGGCAGGTCAGTTAGTGGGTGTTATATCCTTAGTTGTTTGTGCTACAAAGTAAATAATTTTTGGCAGCTGGTTTGGCTTTCACCACTTCTAAGCCTATGACAAATGGTCTTGAAAGATCTTTGGTATTAAAAAGGAAAATTTTTTGTGTGTGAGTTTTAAGTTCAGTTTTGTTGGGTTTTGAAGGCTTTTTTATGTAAGCCACTTATGTGGCATTTTGTTTTATTTGAATTTGAAATTTTTTTTAAGTTTTAAAACTAGAGTCTGCCACATTCAACTTTTTTTCACAGTTGGCATTTAAAAGTTAATTTGCTGTGCTTGCTTCGGCAGTACATGTACTAAAATTGGAACGATACGGAAAAGATTAGCATGGCCCCTGCGCAAGGATGACACGGAAATTCGCGAAGTGTTCCATATTTTTAGAAATAGAAATTCCATTTGACCCAGCAATCCCATTACTGGATATATATCCAAAGGATTATAAATCATTCTACTATAAGGACACATGCACACAAATGTTCAGTGCAGCACAGTTTACAATAGCAAAGACCTGGAACCAACGCAAATGCCCATCGATGATAGACTGGACAGGGAAAATGTGGCACATATACACCTTGGAATATTATGCAGCCATCAAAAACGATGAGTTTGTGTCCTTTGTAGGGACATGGATGAACCTGGAAACCATCATTCTCAGCAAACTGACACAAGAACAGAAAATCAAACACCACATGTTCTCACTCATAGGCAGGTGTTGAACAATGAGAACACATGGACACAGGGAGGGGAACATCACATCCTGGGGTCTGTCGGGGGCAAATAGGGGAGGGACAGCAGGGGGTGGGGAGTTGGGGAGAGATAGCATGGGGAGAAATGCCAGATATAGGTGAAGGGGAGGAAGGCAGCAAACCACACTGCCATGTGTGTACCTATCCAACAATCTTGCATGTTCTTCACATGTACCCCAAAACCTAAAATGCAATTAAAAAAAAAAAAGTTAATGTGCTTTTTCTGTTTTTAAAAGATACTAAAAACTAAGGTTTCCCCCACTAAGCATTTATTAGTCAACCTCTTTTGCAAATGGAAAAATTAGTTTGCATGGCTGTAGATTGGTTTTCTCCCCAGGAGAAATAATATTGCTAAATAATCTCAGAACTGCATTCACGTATTTAGCCTGCCATAAATCGCCGTCAAAGTGAAGGAAATGGTCAAAGTTAGATATACCTGCACATGTGAATTTCATGTATTTTCTGGTAATCAACTCTGTTTTAAAGGCTTTTGGGAGTTGTTTTCTTTCAAAGGCAGCCCACTGGTGCTGTATTTGGCATGTTGTGTGTTATTAAAACATCACATAAATGCAGAGGTACTAGAACGCGAAGTTTACAAAACCCATCGGAACATTTTTACTCGTGTAGCTAACACGATCACTTCTCCAAGTACAATCATCTTTGTGTTGTGAGCCTGTATACAAAACTGTGTCTGGCATATCTGATTAGAATGTGAAATTTAATATTTTCCACTAGTTATTTCCCAACATGCAAAGTGAACCAATACCTGTTAACTGTATATATTTGAGTAAAAATAGAAAGGATCAGTTGCTTAATCAGCTTTACTGCTGTGAATTTAGGAAGTGAATTCACGTCACCCCTCTCTCCAGAGAGACGACTTGATGACTTACTCTCGGTTTCTTTAAGTGACATTGTAGACCCTGTTGGGATTAATCAGCAGCCTTGGGAGTTGGAGCAGTCATTTGCAATATCGAGTGGAAAAGTTGCTTGTGCTCGGAAGAGTGAGAAGGCCAGGAGTGAAAGACGTGGCCTCATCCGTTCCCTGGTGGCTCCTCACCTGTGAAGTTACACCAGGGTGGTAATAAAATCATAGGAGCTCATTTTATGTGAAACCATTAGCGGCCTGAGAATTCAGGACTAGCTGCCTTTCATACTTTAAGACACTGGAAGGTGTCATTTATAAGCATAGCGAGCCTGCAGGAAGGCAGAACAGGCTTGTAAACCGGAGCCCGAGGCTCTAGACAGCAATCAGTGTGTAATAGAGTTTAAAGTCTTAGGTTATCAGAATTACAAATGGGCCTTTAAGTGTTGTGGGCAAATCCCAAGAAACATCTGTCTATAAAAGGTGGGTACAGTGGCCAGTTTTTTCCTCCTCGTTATTGTGATATTGTTATTTTCTGTTTCTGCCTTTGTGGATGGGAGAGGAGGGGAGTGTACACTTTTGCTACAAGTGTAAGAATAAAATTGTAAATATTTGTGTTAGTTGGAAAAAAGTTGAATACAGTAAGTGTCACAGCTAACGTGGGGGTTTTTCACCTTGAAACAGCCACTGCCGCCTGGTTCCTGCCGCCTTATTCCTCGGACTCTGAATTCCCAGGCTGGGGCAGGCATATGTGACAGGCAGAGAGAGCCCTGGGGTTGGGGGAATGAGGAAGTATTTCCAGTTCCCATTTGGCTTATGCTTTGGAGGGTTCCCCAGTGTGGGCACAGCATCCAGGTTCTTGGCCTGTGGGAATGACAAATGGCCCTGACGTTGGACTACCCCAGCTTCAGTATTTCTGCTTACAGCCTAAGAGTGGTTCTTTATCTGAAACCATGAAGAAAACCGGAAGCTTAGGTAAGAATTTAAGAAACCATTCTGTAGACGTTGCCTCCTGACAAGTACAAGTGTGTCTGTTGAAATCTCAGTACTCCAAGTCCCCATCTATCTGCCCTCCACCTCCTCCAGGTGTTAGACGTGTTACCTGATTGCCCCTGGTTGGCCCTCATCCCCTCCCCATCTGGCCAGCGCTCTCCCTGATGTAGGAGGGGGGCGTCCTCCTGCTCCTGGATCCTACAATATCCAGAGACGCTGGTTCCATCTGCATCCCCTTCTCTGTACTGTGGACTTCACTGCTTGTCTCTTTCTTACGCCGCTAGGAAGTATTTCTTCTGATTCTCATGGGCAGCTCAAAAGGACTCCCACAGAGGGAAGGGTAGGCCTTTAATATTTCTGTCCTTCATCTCAAAGTCCACTTCTTTAAAGTAGACACAGATGGGATTGGGCTGCAGCCCCAGAGATCAGTGTTGGCTGGGTGAAACCACTGCGCCCTCTGGGCCCTGGGCTCCTGTTGCTCAGGGTTCCTTTTTAAAGCCCACTTGTTAAAACTTCTTCCTTTACCAAGGAGATGTTATGCTTATCCTCTTGTGATGGTCTCAAAGTGTTCCAGTGCCTCTTCTTGGAGAAGATATTTGCTGGTTTGAAGGCGACCTCTGCTAATGGACCTGTTTAGTCACCAGGTACTGGGCCTTCTCCCATTGTATTGTCCAAGAGGCTCTGCTCACCCCTGCTCCACCGGCTCTGGAAAGTACCCGAAGTTGGTTGGATGTGGCTTCTCTGCTTAGGTAGCCTTGCACCCCTGGGAGGATGGGAGTCTAACCTGGAAGTGGATTGTTCTCATCTAGCAGAAGCACGTACGCTACTGGATACAAAGCCCCATCTTCTTTCAGAAGCAGCTTGGAGCATTTCTTGTTTAACTGTCATGTGACTCCCTTAAGCAATGCTTTTTTCAGAGCGATACCATCCTGGTAAATTGTTAGAAGCCTCTTTCAAATCCATTTCTTTAAAAAAAAAAATCCTCTTTTCTGTTTATTCTGGAGTCACTCATCATGCAAATATTAATCTGTTTGTGAGAAGTGGTGTTCCTGGAGTTGAAGAAAGCTCTTTAGTAGGGCTGCGGGTCAGTACAGTCCCTGAAAAACATGACTATTTATAACACAGGCACCAGAGGGTTCAGAGAAGTGCTAAAAGTGGAGAAGTTGGGGGCAGGGGAGTGCTGGTAAGGATGAACTTTGCCTATTTCACAAGTTTTGACTAAAGTAGTTCTGAATAAGAAAAGCGTTTGATGAAATCTTACCTAGTATAAAGACATATTATTTTGGGTCTCTCTTTTTTCTTTCTTCTTTTTGTTCCTTCACCTTTCCCCTGTGACCTCCCATTCCAGCTGAGCCCTCTTGTTCCCATCTGCCCTGTACTGTTGATCTTAACCCCAGCTCTGCCCTCTCTTAAATCCTGTTCTTATTCTTGGGGAAGACTACAGTCTCCTGAGCTGTTTCTATCTGCCAAGAACTGTACTTTATATACATTAATATTATCATTAGGACGTAGTCTTTTGCCTGTTTTTCAGATGAGGAAAGTGAGATTCAGAGAAGTTAAGTAACTTATCCAAATTTGCATGCCTACTAAGGGATGAGCAGGAGCCAGACCCCCATTTCTGAAGCATGTTTGCCGAACGGCTACACTTCAGCCACCTACTTGGACACCTTTGGAAGGGAGGATTCTTTTACTGTTACCAAAAAGATATTAATAAAAATAAGTCCAGGGTCCAGGTGTGGTGGCTCATGCCTGTAATCCCAGCCCTTTGGGAGGCAGAGGCAGGTGGGATCACTTGAGCTCAGGAGTTGGAGACCAGCCTGAACAACATGGTGAAATCCCATCTCTACAAAAAATAGAAAAATTAGCCAGGCGTGGTAGTGGTGTGTGCCTGTAGTCCCAGCTACTTTGGAGGCTGAGGTGGGAGGATTGCTTGAGCCTGGGAGGCAGAAGTAGCAGTGAGCTGAGATTGCACTACTGCACTCTAGCCTGGGTGACAGAGCCAGACCCTGTCTCCAAATATGTATATATACACAGACACACACACATAATGTATTACTATATTACATACATATATAATATATATGTGTGTTTATATAATAAAATGCCCATAAATTGAGGATTCATTAAATAAAGGGATAGTCTTGAACTCCCGACCTCAGGTGATCCACCCACCTCGGCCTCCCAAAGTGCTAGGATTACAGGTGTGAGCAACCGCGCCTGGCCTCAATAAAGGGATAGTCATACCATTGTAATGATGTAGCTGTTAAAAAGAATAAGACATTTCCCATAAAGGGTAGAGTAGCTTGATTGCACTAATCCCCCTGTATTTTATGTAGATTTGTAAGATCCACACAATTTTTTTTTTCTTCTGAGACGGAGTCTTGCTCTGTCATCCAGGTTGGAGTGCACTGGCACGATCTCAGCTCACTGCAACCTCCACCTCCCAGGTTCAAGCAATTCTCCTACCTCAGTCTCCCAAGTAGCTGGGATTACAGGAGCACGCCACCATGTGCAGCTAATTTTTGTTTTAGTGGAGCCGGGTTTCACCATGTTGGCCAGGCTAGTCTCAAACTCCTGACCACATGATCCATCCGCCTTAGCCTTTCAGTGCTGGGATTCTAGGCGTGAGCCACTGCGCTTGGCCTCACACAAAATTTCTTTTTAAAACTACTATTATCTGGCACCAGAAGGCAAGCAAAATCAAGCAGCAACTGGAAGGGAATCTACCTCGAGAGACAAACTGTGGTGAATAAGGTTTGCAGGTTGGTAGCTTTAACC